TGGAGTCGTCATCTAGTATTTAAGAATGCTAGAAAACTTAAAAAAAAAACATTAGATTCGGAGATTTCGAATAAAAAGTTAGTCATGATTTTAAAAGATATCGATCACATAAAATCACAATTTATGAGAAAAGGTACTATGTCTAGTCTAGTTTAGTCTTAATATATATATATATATATATATATATATATATATATATATATATATATATGTTGTTTATTTTGAAGACATGATTTAACCAACATTTTTTTAGTCGCCATCTAGCATTTAAGAAAGCTAGAAAACTCTAGAGTACTCGATTCAAAGATTTCGGATAAAAAGTCAGTCATGATTTTGAAAGATATCGGTCATCCAAATTTGCAATTTTTGAGAAAAGATACTATGTCTAGTTTAGTCTTAATATATATATATATATATATATATATATATATATATTATTTCTTTAGCTAAATTATTTTTTATTTTTTTTATTATGGCATCATATGAATTAATTCTCGGATTCCAATGTCGGAAGTCTCGTCAATTCAACATTAAATTCAATTAAAGTCTTGACATAACCGATATATCGGAGAATAATGTAATCACTAAAGGTGATTGGTTTGTATTAATTAATGTGAAGAATAAAGTTCATCTCTATTGAATAGAAAACTCGTTAAATTAATTAAAACTCTCTTTTTTTTGTTCTTTTACCTTTTTTTGTTGTTGTCATTTTTATCTTTTTTTCTTTAAACATTCTTTAGTATTATAAATTTGATGGAATATCGTCATCGGTTCCTAAAATATAGAAAACTCAAGGATCCGCCATCACATTAATTACCTAATAAAAATCACAAGTATTAAATAATGGACAATAGAAAAATGACTATTGCTAAATAAATAGGAAATTAATTCACATAATTAGAAATTTTAACATATAACTTATATACAAACATACAATCATATTCTAAAAATTTAAGATTTAACTAAAATTAAACAATATGCTAAATTAAAATTTTGGACAATTAAAACAATTAACAATTAGGCATAAAATTAAATACATTCAAAATAAATTGTAAAGAAGCTTCAAAGATTTTGAAATTTTAAAGATAAAATTAAAATAACCACACATATAAAATTTGTAAATTGAGCAAGACAACCTTATTTAAATAAATCCGAAAAAAAATATTTGAAAGCCCATTGGGCCCAACCCGTGTGTCTCCTGTTCTCTCTGGCCCCTAAGTCACAGACCCAGCCTATGGTCCATGTCTCTCGTTTTCTCTCTGGACCGGACCCAAGCCCAAGCTTGTTTCATTTTTTCTTTCCTGGCCCAAACACTCTTTTCTCTCTCTGGATCAGACCAAAGTTAAGCCCAGCTTGATTTCTTTTCTTTTCTTTTATTTTTCTTCCTGGACCTCACTCAAGTTAAGCCGAGCCCCATTTACTTTTCCCTTTTTTTTTTTTTCCCTCCCCAGCCTACCCTATTTTTCCTTTTCTTTTCTTCCCCCCAGCCCAGCATATTTTTCTGATCTCTCTTTCCCTGGCCTTTTCTTTTCTTTGTTCTTCTACCCCTCGTTATTCTCCTCTCAAAACAGAACCCAGAACCAGAGCTTGGAACAACCAAGCCATGAAGCTGCAGAGTTAAACTTCGTGTGTGGCTATCCTAGGGAGGCTTGTCTATAGCTTTATTCTGAAGAAATAATTAACTAAAAAAGGGAAAATAGACAGTTCCTGGGGAGGTTTGGCAGATGAAGGGGAGTGGCTAGCGGCAGGGAAGATATGTAACCTGAAGTGCTTTAGGAACTTAGAACACCTTCCTTAAAACCCAGATTGTTGATTGTTGGAAACCAGGATCCCCTTTTTTAAAGAACAGCTCTCGGATGAACCAGAAAATCTAAAACCCAAAAACCCTTCTTCAAGCCCAGAATCCTCTCAATTCCAGAATTACTTCCCATAACCCAGAAATGTTATCAAACCCAGCATTGCTCTTAAACCCAGGGTCCTCCCCTCAAATTCTCCCAAATGTGTTCTATTTATACCTAAATTCCAGTTCTCCTCAAACCTAAGATCCTCCACCAATTCATTCTGACCCTTCCCTATTAAATCCAAAACGAGACGCTCCTGCCATTTTGCTGTTTGTGCTCAAGATATTTTCAGGAAAAAAACAGAGAGGGAAAGGAGAGGGTGTGAAATGTGTGTGCAGATTTTTTTTTTTTTTTTATGCAGGGATTTGAAGCACGATTCCTGGCTGCTACAATTGCCAGCCAAGAATTGTATTATTGTAAATGTCTTCTGTGAAGACGATGAACAATTCTGGGAGGGATGGGGGATTTTGGGTTGCAGCAAACGACAAGTCGTTCGGGTAAACTTCCGAATTGTTCCTGTCGTTCGTTCTTTATTTACATCTCCATCCTTGTAAATTTAATCTCTATTCAATCGTACCCTCTAGACTCGTTATTTCGGTCCTTCGTTCTTTCAATCTTTCACAATTATACCCATGTATCCCTCAATTTCAGTTTTGGTTAGTTTGATTTGTTCAATTGCACCCCCAACTGTCTCTTGTTTTCAGTTTCTGTTTCTTTCAATTGCATCCCTGTTTTCCTTCAATTTCAGTTTCCATTTTGTTCAATTGCACCTTTATTTCTCTTCAATTTCAGTTCCTATTTCTTTTCAATTACACCCCTGATTTTGTTTTCTCAACAATTAATCATGTTTTTTTTTTTTTCACTTTTTTAATCAAAATAAAATAAAAAGAAATTAACCTAATTTTTATATTTTATTCTCTTTTCATTTTTTTAATGTTGATTTTTGTGGTTTTTGTTTTTGGGTGATAAAATGATGGATTCATAATACTCAAAATCTAAAAGAAAAATTAAGTGGAACCAAAATTAAAGATGATGATGATGATGATGATAATAAGGGTAATGATAAAAATTAATGTAAAAATAAATGTGCACATGTGAAAATAAAAATTGTAAAGATAAAAATTATGAAATAAAATAAATAAAATAGGAGGACAAATTTTTAATTATGATACAAATAGTGAGAAATTTGGAAAGAGGAGCATGCATGTGCAGTATTAGTAAAAAGTAGTTCGAATGGTTGACAGATAGTTGATAAAAATCAAAATAAGTAGAGTTTTAGATATTATTTAGCATGTAAATGAGAGAATTTAAATTTTTTTATTAGAGATAAAAAAAATTAGAATCTCCTCAGATGATCCAAGGTTGATATTTATTATAAAAAAAGAATAGTCTTTGATAGTTAAAATCATGTTAAGCCATTCAAGTTTGGATAATCATATTTGAGTTGAAAAAACTATATTTTTTCGTACTAAATTATTTTAACTTATTAGTAAAAGTTTTTTTTTTTTAAAGAGACTTTGCTTTTAGTCTCGTCAAATCAATCTCTTTAATATATATTAATTGAAAAGCTATAGATATTGATATTATCATAATACTCATGTTCAATCTAAAGACTCAAGATCTTATGATCGACGAGTTATATTTTCATTATGATCTATTTGTTGTGCTATTTCAAAAGAAAAAAAAAGATATACAATAAAAATTAGTTAAATTACTTAATTAATTTTATAAAAAATCTAGCATATACTAGATTTTTTACCTTCGTTACGTTGTGGATTTGATAAAATATATAAAATCATATAGAAAAATTATTTCAGTTTAATAATCTGTTTTATGATAAAAAATAATAATTATAATTTTTAAATGAAAAGAATTTATATTTAACTATTTCTTATTTGTGTTTTTAAATTTTAGAAATAAATAATAAAGCAAATAAATTATTGATTTATTTAAAATTTTAACACCCAATTAATTGTTGGTTCTTTTAAGATTTTAACACCTATTATTATTAAGAAATTAAAATAAAAAAAATTCAATGTTTATGAAAAAAAAAAAAAAGGAGGCTAGCCGTTTACCTGTTCATGTGAATAGTAAACGGACGGAAATTAAAAAAAATTAGTATTTAGAGGGAAAAAAAAAGAGGGCAAGCCGTTTACCATTCAAATGAACAATAAACAAGTAAAAAAAGGAGGGGGGGGAGGCAGCAAGTGCTAGCAAAAAAAAAAAATGAAAACTTAAAAAATCAAAAAAAGCCAAAGTAATATAGTAATGAACATTTGATTAACATTGTTTATTGTTACGAGTGAAAAATGGTTTTTCTTTCGTATATAGTATTAGATTTTTTACCTTCGTTATACTTGCGGGTTGGATAAAATATATAAAATAGTTTAGAAAAATTATTTCAATTTAATAATCTGTTTTATTGTAAAAAATAATCATAATTTTTTAATAAAAAATTTTGTATTTAACTATTTTTTATTTATTTTTTAAAATTTTTAAAATAAATAATAAAGGAAATAAATTGTTGGTTTTTTTAAAATTTTAACACCCAATTAATTGTTGGTTCTTTTAAAATTTTAACACCAAATACTATTAAGAAACAGAAATTAAAAAAAAATTCAATGTTTAGAAAAAAAAAAAGAAGGAAGCCGTTTACTGTTCAAATGAACAGTAACGGATTGGGGGGGGGGTTCTAGCAAAAAATTAATGAAAGTAGAAAAAACAAAAACAGTGTAATAATAAACAGTGATTGACACTGTTCGTTGTTACAATGAAAAAGCGTTTTGCCTTCGTATATAGGATAATAGTTATTAAGCTATTCCTGCTATTTTATTTTATTTTTGCATGCGGAGTCTGGTAATCGTACCGATGGCTGTGGACTCTTTGTCCATACCGAAGGAAGCAATCTACCTTATCTTCTGAATGGACACGTGTTCTCATTACCCAGCCAATTCTGAACCACCGTTGCACCTTTGTCCCTGGAGGCCACGACAAGTGTCACAAAAGCAGCAGTAGTAGATTTTTTTACTCTAAACGTCGCCGTTTCTTTCTGTTTATGTACTTTAATCTCTCAGTCATGGAGCAGTAGCTCTGTGGCTGAGCTTCATCTTTAGTTCTCTGCTTTACCAGAGCCTGCAACAAAGAAAAGCGGCGAGAGAGATGGTACGTTTTGGCGGGAAAATGGCGGGCCAGATAGCGAGTTTTGGAGGGAACGGTGTAGGCCAGGTCTTGGCTGCTGCCGCAGTCGCTCTCCTCCTCCGACTGTTTTCCGGTCCCGGTCCCGCTCTGATACCTGAGGACGAGTTTCCTGACGACGAAAGAAATGACGCAGCCGGGGACGATTTCCCAGATACCGGGAAAGTTGTTCCGGTTACTATCCGGTGGAGCAACATCACATGCTCACTCTCTGATAAATCCTCTAAATCAGTGAGTAGGAATTTTATTTTCGCTCCTTTGGAGTTTCATGTTTCCTTCAAGTTCTGTTTGGTTGCGGAGAAAATGAAGGAAAAGATGTTCGAATTTAAACGATTCACTCTACTTTGCTGATTTTTATTTTTATTTTTTTAATTTTATGATTTTCATCTTTGCTTAATTTAATTTCCCTGCTTTATCAAATATAGATGGAATTTGGGGTCACTTATAAGTTTGACTGGATTTTAACTTGTAGTTGAGATTTCTACTCAAGAATGTGAGTGGAGAAGCAAAGCCTGGAAGATTACTTGCAATAATGGGACCATCAGGTTCAGGAAAGACAACATTGCTCAATGTTTTGGCAGGACAGCTAATGTCATCACCGCGGTTGCATTTGTCAGGTCTTTTGGAAGTCAATGGGAGGCCTAGTTCAAATAGAGCTTACAAGTATGCTGCTTTGTTGTATACTTGTGATGCTGAGCGTAATGGATATGCTTTTGATGTGTTTATGAGGTTTATTTTTGTTACAGGTCTGCTTATGTGAGACAGGAGGATCTTTTTTCTCGCAGCTTACGGTGCGGGAGACACTGTCTCTTGCTGCTGAACTTCAACTTCCAGAGATATCTTCGGTGGAAGAGAGAGATGAATATGTGAATAATTTGTTGTTCAAGCTCGGTTTGGTAAGGCAACTTCTTCTGAAGTTTCATTTAAATGCATAATTAAATTGATTGATCCACTCTGCAGACATAATATTAATCACTTTTAATAGTAGATACCAAAAGGGGTTTTACACTTCAAGTTAACGTCTCTTCTACTCTGCGAACAATCAATAGCAATTAATGGTTTGTATAGCGTAGTCGTGTAGCTATCATCTGTCTGTCAATTCCTGGCTCTTCTTTTATATTGTATATTTCTGCTCTGATTTGGTTTCTTTTGGGGGTTTGCTTTTATTCTTCTTCTCCAAAGGTCAGCTGTGCTGATTCCAATGTTGGTGATGCAAAAGTTCGTGGGATAAGTGGTGGTGAAAAGAAACGTTTGTCGCTAGCATGTGAACTCATTGCTAGCCCATCCGTAATATTTGCTGATGAACCTACAACAGGTATCCATGCTTGCTTGCATACAGACCTTTTGCTAGTCTGGATTGGATCTGAATTTTGGAGCCATTAAGCTTTGATATGATTAATGTATGTAATCATAATGCAGTATGCACGGGATACATGTGCATCAACTTTGCTATTACTGTATTATATGGAGGCAAAATGACCTTCCATGTGTTTTACTAAAATTCATTGTGCACAAGGCACGTTTAAGAGTTAAACACTAGTGTTTACCAATGCTATGATACTGATGGAGGAAATTCTTCTTCAAATGCGAGGGTTGACCTGGTAGCTCTAGTGAATCTGAATGTGCCGAATTTGGCTTGCATTGATTCTCAGCATTTTCTAATGCAGAGTGAATTCAATAGTATTTGAAACTAAGGTTTCTCAACTTCTGGGCTATGTCATGCTGCCTTCAATGAAGAGATTTTTATTGACTCCTTAATCTTGGATAAGTATTAGCAAGACTATCAATTTGAAGTGAAAATAAAAATCCATAAACTATTGATCTGGTGACCCATATGGCTCACTGCTGAAGTAAAATCTTCTTTTCCAATTTTAACAAGGTGATGTGTGGTTTTTCCAGGACTTGATGCTTTTCAGGCAGAGAAAGTAATGGAAACTCTCCGACAACTGGCACAGGATGGACATACTGTAATTTGTTCCATACACCAGCCTAGAGGCTCAGTGTATAGTAAATTTGATGACATTGTGTTACTAGCAGAGGGTGCACTTGTTTATGCTGGCCCAGCACGTGATGCTCCACTGACATATTTCTCAAAATTTGGGTTATTAGCCAAACCTTGCCTATCTTATGTCAAATGTCTCAATGCTATATCTGCTGCTTCCTGTTGATATTGCTCATTATTCTCAACTTCAACAATTTATATTTTCTTTTAACTAGTAGGATGGATATAAAGCTCTAAGGTACATGTAAAATAATAGCTGGATGGAAATAAAAAAAGGTGTAGTTGGTGATGTTTTTCTGCTGCCAGTGGAACTAATTTTCTCCCTCTGGCTAAGCTGTTTTATGTTTTGAGACCAGAACAGATTTGATTTTTAACGACTTTTTTCCAATATCTTACTGTGCTTTGGAAATTGCAATGGCACTACATACTCAGATACATTTGAGCATGACAAGACAACTTACTGAGTAGGGTAGTGGTTAAACTTGGGAATCTTGAGTGTCATGCTTGAATCCTGGGATTGGTGGATAGGGGTTTGTCAGATGGTTGGGACTTCCCAGTGTTGCAAGCCATTATTTTTACCCTGGTTTAAAAATATATAGATTGAACATTTTCCCTCCCATTTCTATGATGTGTGATCATTTTCTATTCTTTAAATGCAATATTACTGATTTCACAATTGAGAGCCTATGTTTGTCATGTATATGCTTCAACTTTATCTGGAACTACCCCTCTGTTGTTTGATTTTTGATAGAATGTCCATTTGACTTTAAGTTCTTGCTTTCTCATTTAGAAAAATTCCTTATGCTTTAGGTTTTTGTGTTTCCTTTTTTTTTTTTTTTTGGGTTGTATTTTCCTTTCTCATATACAAATATTAATCTGTGCTCTGGCTTATTGTCTTGACCGCTTTCTCTCCCTCTTTTAGTCTCTCTCTGAGGAACATATGTTGTTGGTGGTGCATTTGATTAATCATTATATATGTAGAGCTGTTGTCTCAGTTTTCCAAAGTTACGGATTGATTGTTGATCCATTCAACAGGTATCATTGCCCAGACCATGTCAATCCTGCTGAATTTTTGGCTGATCTCATATCCGTAGACTACAGTTCTGCAGAAAGTGTCTACACTTCGCAGAAAAGGATAGATGGTCTTGTTGAGTCATTTTCACAACAATCATCAACAATTCTTTATGCAACTCCACTTACCAGAAAGGAGGACTCCAAGAAATTGAGCAAGAAAACTGCTGTAAAGGGGCAAGGCAAAGGTTCTTGGTGGAGGCAATTCTGGTTGCTCCTTAGGCGTGCATGGATGCAGGTTGGTTTTTCAACTGTCACTCTATTAATAAATAGTCATTTCATTAGTTTCTCGCTATGACATAGTGTAATGCAGACAATTCCCCAACCCCTGAAACTAGTTCCTCTCTAGTGGAAGGCTGGACTTGCAGTGACCTGGACTGCAATTTGACATTGCTTTATTTTGCTTTTTGTGCTATCAATCCTGGCTTGTCCGTCTAGCTTATTCATTTTAATCAACAAAACTAAGAAGTAGAGCATAGCAAATCATCTTTTACTCAATTCTAGATGACAAAATCACCCTATGGGATGACTGGCATAGAGATATGCATTGTCCTAGTTGGCAAATTTATGGAAAACTAATTTTTCAGATAATTGTAATTCTAGCTCCTGCGTTTACCTTAGTGCGCACCTTTTATGAGTAGGCTTCTCGTGATGGGCCAACAAACAAAGTTCGGGCAAGAATGTCAGTTGCATCAGCTATAATATTTGGGTCAGTTTTCTGGAGAATGGGAAAATCTCAAGCATCTATACAAGATAGGATGGGATTGCTTCAGGTATATTACGTTATTTTTCCTCCTTTAAATCCCTGCTCTTTTTAAGCATCAATACAAGATAGAATGAAAAGATCTCAAACATCATAGAAGAACCGAGAATATGCAGATTTTGGTTCTGTCGTGCTGTCAAATACTTTTTTTAATTTCAGCATGTTTTTTTATGTTTGCTTGATGATGGGGCTCAAGATTCTGGTTTGAAAGCATCAGCTATTCATTAACTGAGCTGATTAATTTCACCTGTGAGTGACAAAGGACCTGGGTCATGATCTTGACTCCAACCTCCTTTGCTGGTGTCAATTTATGCAGTTTCTGCTACTGGCCTCTATTCTGCATCTTTGGCATTGAGTCATCACTTTTACAATTTCTGCCACATTCACATTCAGTGTCCTTGCTAAGAATATGAACCCATATCAGTTAAAAAAGTGCCAGCTTTATTTATTACGTACACTCACCTAACAGTCCAAGTTTTGGGGTTGGATATGAGTTTAATATCATATCAAAGCGTGGTTTGCAACTTCTAATCTACCAGCTATAAATCTATGACCCGAGTTCGCTTTTTTTTTTCTCCCTTGTTAGCTTGTGTGATAGCTGTAGCCTGTGATCCACCATCCAAGACTGCATCTTAACTATGAACAGAGGTAACAGATGAACTTTTAGAGTTTGGATACAAATTTCCTGATCACTTATGTCCTAAATTACTGCCATTCGTAAACATAAAAATAGAAATGAATGAATAAACAAAAAGAGCTATACATGGTTCATGTGGAGTGCAGGGAGCTGAAGCTACTTTACATTTTATATACCTTGAGCTGATACAACCAGTAAAAGTTACCATTGGCACCCTGCTAGTTAATTCAGATTGGTCAAAATTTTGCTACACGAGTTTTAGCATGGATGCTCTTTGATGCGTGGACACAGCATGTTCATTAATTATAAGCTCCCAGCTTAGCTGATCAGCTGGGTGGCATTTTTAAAATTTAATGAAATTCCGAGTATATATATTCTGTGCATGACAATTGGTCTCTCTCAGGTTGCAGCAATAAACACAGCAATGGCTGCTCTCACGAAGACGGTGGGTGTGTTTCCTAAAGAACGTGCAATTGTTGATAGAGAGCGTGCTAAGGGCTCTTATGCATTAGGACCTTATCTACTTTCCAAATTGATAGCCGAGATTCCTGTTGGAGCAGCATTTCCATTAATGTTTGGCGCTGTACTGTATCCCATGGCTCGTCTTCATCCTAACTTTTCAAGGTGTGATTCCATATTTTACCATTTTGATTTCTGACGCCACATGGATTTCTGCAATTTTTTTTTATTGAATGAATGCAGTTGGATTTATGCAGCTTCAGAAAGTACATGAATCAGTAACTGAAATTTGTGAAAGTTAATTGAACTGACTGGCATGCATGCATATAAAACTGAAAAGCAAAGGACCAGGAATGAGGTGTTCTGCAGAGAAGAATAACCCGTAGTGGAAATAAAACACTGTGATAACCTTTTTCAGGCTTGGAAATGTTTCGTTTATACCAGTCAAAATGTTTGAAGTTACTGAATTCGGACTGGTGCACTCCAGGTTTGGAAAATTCTGTGGAATCGTGACAACCGAGTCATTTGCTGCATCTGCAATGGGTCTAACTGTGGGAGCTATGGTTCCAACCACTGAAGCAGCAATGGCAGTCGGACCCTCTCTTATGACTGTTTTTATAGTATTTGGTGGCTATTACGTCAATGCAGATGATACTCCAATCATCTTTCGATGGATTCCTCATGTCTCCCTGATAAGATGGTAAACCAATTATATCTTGCACATACTGAAAATCCTTCTCCTATGTTGATTTTTTTTTTTACTGGAGTTGTTGATTTTGGCCTTGTTTTATGACTATTCATGCACATGGTTTCAGGGCCTTTCAAGGACTTTGCATCAATGAATTTAGAGGTCTTCAGTTTGATCATCAAAATTCGTTTGATGTAGAAACTGGTGAACAGGTAATGTGATGCCATGAATTTCTGTCTTCCAGCGTGAAACACAAGAGAGTTCTCTATTGCAGTTAAGAATAGAGAAAATCTTGAAAAAGGATAATTATCTGTTTAGTCTAGAGCCTTAAAAATATATTAAGACAAACGAACTTGAAATTCCACAAAAGCGTGGCTGCTCTAGTAATATGGTAAAAGATAATACAGCAGTGATAAACTATTTTGCATTATATGCATTTCTTTAATGTAATACACATCATCTAAGCTCGTGAATTTTATGCAAAGTTATTTTGTTCTGTGAGAAGTCATGTATATTGACAAGTTCTCCTGAGGAAAACAGGTGGGACCCAGTTGAATTTGCATCAGCTTCTTATCTATGTTCTTCCCCTTATCTTGAATTTTATAGTTATTTGATAATATTCTCTTCATTTATGCTTTCAGCCCACAATTCGAAGAAAGGTCTGTATTGATTTGCATTATAGCGAATGTGCCTATAGCGCTTATTAGTTATAACTTGTCGGCTGAAATGATCCATGCCACTAAAGTTGTGCATTTCTTGAGTGTAGCTGTTTCCCGAAATCAAATTTTCAGGATTGCTATGCATAATTTTTATTTTTATTTTTGTGCGCTGACAATTAACAACATAGTGATGAAATTGTCAAAATAGCTAATTTGGATGTGCCTGACATGTGCTTTATTCTTTCTGTCTTATGCATCCAAGATTTACCCTTTCTTTTTCTTTTTTTTTTCTTGCTTTCCAGGCACTTGAACGGCTCTCCTTCGGTGGAAGTCGCGTTAAGGATACAGTGGTAGCTCAAAGTAGAATTTTGTTGTTTTGGTATTGCACCACGTACCTTCTCCTTGAGAAAAACAAGCCCAGATACCAAAGGCTTGAGCCACCATCTCATGAACAAATCCAATCACAGCTACAACTTGAGCCTTTGGACCCAAACCAGGTAAAACAACTCCAGCAACTGGATCCTCCTCCACTGAGAGAAGATGAATCAAACCAGCAGCTTGAATCACCAACTGTTGACCAAATCCGACCATTTATCTTAGAAGGTTTGTAATTGTTTGGATGATAAAAGAAAAAGATTTGTAATTATTTGGGCACTAATAAGAGCATTATAAGATAAGATTTATTGATTTATCTGATACAGGTACAAAGTAAAGAAGATGCCATTGCATAAAGGTGGGCCTGATGCCTTTACTGAGCTAACGAGCTGCTTCCATAGAACTTGACAACAATTAAGTTGATATATGGCTTAAATTAAAACAGCTTAAGAATCTCGCGTGGAATGTCAATAGTAGTAGCAAAGGTGATGGATTTCTTTCTTTGCCATCCTAATAGGCGTTATTCTTCTTCTTTCCGTTGGATGACCAAAGATGGAAATTGACTGTTGGCGTTTGCTTTGGTGGGTGCGTATGGCAATGACTAAAATATTAGGAGATTACTTCCCTCTTGTAAAATTTGTATTTTGCTATCGTGATAATAATAATAACAACAACAATAATAAGATCCTCGTACTGGTATATATATATATATTTTTTTTTTTTGTAAATTTGAGTATCAAAATAGGTCTAGTTGGTCTGTTTCGGATTAAATAAATGCTTTCAGTCTTACCTGAAAATGAAAAAAAAAAAAAAACAAGCGTCAACGTTTCCAGTAATAGAATTTGACATTGCTGCTCTAATCAACAGTAATAACACTTGGTTCCTTACCCAAAAAAGAGAAAAAACTTTAATAATGGTAACAACAATAAAATTGGAAAGAAAGAGGATAAGAAAATGAATTTATCATGAAATAAAGTAAATAGAAGTAATAAGAATTTTAAGTAATTTTTTTAATCTTTAGAAAACACACTTACTCAAACTAATAAACAATCAAACTTATTTATAGGCTTCAAGATTAAGAAGAAAAATAGAAGAAATTATGAATAATTAAAAGATGCATAAATAATTAAATAAATTGTGTCACTCTTTCAATTTTTCATATTGAATAGTGAATTGAATCACATGAGTAGTGAGAATATGAAATGATTATAGATATTTATTATTTTATAACACTCCCTCTTGAATATTCATCATACAAGGAATATGTCATGTTAAAACCTTATTAGGAAAAAACTAAGCGAGAAAAAATCCTAGCGAAAGAAAAAAATATAATATTCATTGTACACATTAATCTCTATGTTAAGCTACTCTTGTTTAAAATATTCTTTAAGATCTTTAAGACGGCGTATCTCGGCCTAGCAAACCATTTTCTCAAAAGGTTTGATAGGTAACGCCTTAGTGAATAAGTTCATACGATTGTCACTTTGATGTATTCTTCATTTTATTGAATTATGCAATCAATGTTATCTTCATATGATATTATTGGAACTTATTTGCTAGTAGATACACTCTATGGCTCTTGGATATGATGGGTTATTGATCATAATTCAACACATTCTCGACTTGCCTCATGATTTGATATTTTTACATGGTTTGAATACGTAACAACTATACTTTATTTCATAGAACATCATGATATAGTTGTATCATCATGTGTAAATACATAACTTGTTTATGATCGAGTTTCTATGGATCGGATAAATAGCTCGCATCTATATAACTAATTAACAATGTCTTTGATTTATTGAAGTTAAATAAGCTCATATCAATTATTCCTCGAAGATAACGTAGCATACGTTTAATTCCATTTTAATGTCTCTATGTTGGAGCGAATTATATTTTGCTAATAATTTATAAAAAATGCTATATCAAATCGGATATTATTAGCAAGATACATTAATGCACCAATAGTACCGAGATATGTTACCTAAAGACTAAGTAGTTCTTTATTATATTCTCAAGACAAAAAATGATCTTTTTGAATATCAAGTGATCGAGCTACCATTGGGCTAGTCAATGGATGAGCTTTATATATAATTATTGTAGAACTTTAGTTATATAAATTGATTGATGAATAAAAATCTCATTCTCTAAGTGTTCGAACTGCGAGTCAAGATAAAATTTTGTTTTTCCAAGGTATTCACATCAAATTCTCTTTTAGATAACTTATGGCACTTGGAATCCGTTCGAAGTTCCAATAATATTTAAGTCATCAACATATACAATAATTATCACAAATTATTTTTTGAATAAAAATACATAAACAAATAGGGTTATTTTTATAACATTCTTTTAATAAATATTCATTGAAACGATTACACTATATGCATATAGGTTAGTAATAAAGAGCGAGATATTGAAAAATAAAAAAATAAATATAAAGAGTATAATATAAATTTAATTTCTAAAAACTAAAATAATAATAAAATAATGCTAATAAAGATCTCTATAATTTAATTGAATTCATTTCTCAAGAATATGTGTTACATGTTTTAGGCATCTTAAGTCCTTTTAGGACTTTTATATAAATATCATTTCAAGTGAATAAATAAGTTGTGATCACATTCATTAAATGCATGTATATGAAGTTTCATATATTTTGTCAAGCTAACGAAATAATGAAATATAACTACATCCATAACAAGTAGAATATATCTTCTCATAGTCAATGTCAAGTATTTGCAAAAATTCATATGTTACAAGTCTCGCTTTGTATATCATAATCTCATCTTTCTTATTTTGTTCTCGTATAAATATCCATTTGTATTCTACTAGCTTGGCATCTTTAAGTATTTTGACTATGGATTCAAAAACTAGTCATTTTGTAAGAGAATATAATTCTGTCCGGATTGTTTTTTTCATTTAAGCCAATCATCTCTATGTCGATATTTTTCAATAGATTTAGGATTAGGATCCTTGTTTTTATTTAACATATCAATTGCAATATTATATGCAAAAATATTATCAATAAATGTTCTTTTTTTATCCTATTTTCTTCCTATATTGACATAGTTTATCAAAGTTTCTTGATTTTTTTAAGCATTTGGACTTCTTCTAGAAGCTTGTTATCAAAAATATCCTAGACCATTTTGTGAAAATTTGCTTCTTTGATATTTTTATTTGTCTGGATTTTTTCAAGCATTTGAACTTCTTTTAAAAGCTTGTTATCAAAAATGTCCTAGACCATTTTGTGAAAATTTGCTTCTTTGATATTTTTATCTTGATCATTTGTCTTTTGTTTTTGAAAATTTTTATTTTTAGAACTGATCGATCTTCCACGCTTTAGGTCTACTTTAGATTCATTTGCTATAACATTAATAGATTGTCTTTTTGGGACATCAATTCTAATACAAGCATTCTTATTTGGGACATGCATTTGTTTTTTTTTTTTTTGGATTTGAGAATACATCTAGCAGTTAGTTTGCAAGATTTTATAAATAAATTATCTTTTAAACTTCTAGTTCACATTATTTTATGCGAAGATCAAGATAATGTAAAGATGGAGTACTCCATGTAATCTCTTTTCTAACATTTTTAATCGCTTGTTTTGCTTATTCTCGTCCCATAATGTTGGAAAAACTGTCTTATCAAAATGTCGATCGGTAAATCAAGCTATAAAAATACCTCTTGTTTGTGATTCAAGATATTTAATTATCGAAGATGATTCGAATCCAACATATATTTTCAATCTTCTTTAAGACCTTATATTTAGTTCCTTGTAAAAGAGCACTAGGTATATATACTGCGCAATAAAAAATTATTAGATGATAAATATTTGGTTCATGACCGAAACCAATCGAAGGGGAGAATTTCGATAAGTTGTGGGTCCGATGCGAATAAGTTTTATTACATGTCCCTAAACATAAATAATGAGTTTTATTTTTATAAGTAATGGTTTAGTTATCAATTAAAGCCTTTTAATAAATGATTCTCGCTAAACCTTGTTGAACACAAGCAACTTGTTGTTCAACCTTTATTCTAATAACCAATCAATAATCATTTAATATTTGAGAGATAAATTCACCAAGCATCATCAAAGTGAATTGTTTTAATGACATAAATTGAAAATTATGCTCGTAATCAAATTATTTAAGCTAGCAATCTTGAAAACACTAGGTTTCAAGTAAATAGTAAGCATATATGTGACTATCTTATGGATGCATCTATTAAAGTTATAAAATATCTAAATGGTCTACATGGTGGATGAATTGGTCGACATATATTACCTTGAATATGTTCTAAAAATGTTGGAGATTCAATCTTAATTTTTACATGGTGATTGCTTAACAATCAATTTGCCTTGAAAACATATAGAACATAAAAATTTATTAAATTGAAAAATTTTCTAGCTCTTTAATAGATGTCTATATAGATTTTTAATAATTTTTTGTATCGTGAAAGACCTAGTATAAAAAAACCGATCATGCTACATAATAAAAGTATTTAAATTAGTAAACTTCGATTGAATATAGTATTTATTTCAATCATTAGGATACTTGTAATAAAGATTAGAAGAGGAGACAAGTAATTTTTCAGTATATATTTTTTATATGATATAATTGTTGTAATATATAAGTATTCAATATTTTCAATATTTGTTGTCTCGATATGATACTCATTTAGACGATATTTTTGAAACGAACAAATTTTTTATGGACGTTAAAGAAAATAATACATTATTTATAATAAAAATTTTCCTTTGAGGTAATAATATATTTTACCATTTCGAAGCTTTAAAAATTTGTCCCTTCAAGTATAATATAATGGCTCTTCTAGAGCCTTCAAAATTTATCTCTTTAACTAATAATATATCCATTCTTCTAAAGTCTTTTATTAGATTGATACAATTAAATATAATATTAATACAAAATAAATAATTAAATAAATATAAATAAATATATTCCTTCATCAAAAAATAAGTAAATAAATAAATATATAACAAAATAAATTTGTAACTATCACTATATGATAGAAATTATAAAAAATATAAAATATTTTATTTATAAATAGAAAAACTAACAAGTAATTGATTTCAATTATTGTTATTATTTTGATATATAAAAGTGGTATCTATATTGTACTCTTCTTTTTTTCAACGGGGCTTGATAAGGCTCGATAAGATTCTTTAATGTATGCGAATAATGTTTATTCATACCACACTTATAATATTTATTTTTAGAATACTAACTTTTGAAAGTAAAGAAAAAAAAACAAAAAAGTAAACAAAAGTGCCACATGGCACATGCAATAGGAGACATAAAAATAGAAAATTTTTTATTTTATTTTACTCTTTTACAATCAACAAATCTAATGATCAACAACATAGGAGATCATGCATAATAATAAATCAATAACCGAGACAGAATAAAGAAAAAAACACCATTTAAATGACTTTTGATCTACGGTAATTCTGAGTCTAGATCTATAGTAAATAAACAATCAATTTTTTATTTTTTCAGTTTTCTTTATCACAGGACGGTGGTTAGAATTTTAGATTCGTGGTTCCTCCTTAGCTTTATTTCATAAATAGTACAATTTTCGCATCTAGAGGGTTGCATGTTATTAGACCAATTCAACAGTCATTATTTAGTTCAATCATTTTCGCTTCTAGCACGTGGTCACATAAATAAATTAAAAAAAAAGTTGAAGCTAAAATTTCTAGAGACATGCGGGCAAAAATTCAACTTGATCAAGTCATGGTCGAGGCCTTCTATTATTATTTACTATATTTTTATTTTATTTTTAATTACAGGATCGTATATATAGCATTAACTTTCTTGAGATTTTCGATCTCTTCTTTACTTAATTTTCTGAAAAAAAAAATGTTATAATAGATTAGACCGCCGCCACATGCCGTCATTGCATACAAACGTGGCAATATCTTGAGAAGCATTCTTCTTCCATAGAATTTATAGCACGCCTACGTCGACCTTCCGGTTGGCCAACTGCCATTGGCTTAAAAATCACGTTTCATTAATTTCACAGCTCTCTCTCTCTGTATCTCTTTCAGTCTCCCCTGTGCATACAAGTGAAAACGCCTATATACACACACACACACACAAAAGACATCACACATCAAGATACTCCTACATGGTTCTCAAAATTTTGACCTATTTGATAACCCATTTCAGAAACTTTGAAAATCAAGGATTCGCGTACAAAACAATGAAAACAGCCATGCTAAACTCTCCTTCATTACCTCTCGTAGCTTCACATCCATTTTGTGGCAGATCCTTGCATCAAGCTGCAGCAACTACAAAGACATGCCTTAACACAAGTAAGAGACGACTTTCTACGAAGATTTCAGCACTGAGAAGGGACGATTATAGCGATAAATTGATCGACGAAGACATGATTGTTCTTCGGATGCGCATTCAGGAGATGAAGATAGCCGAAAGGAATTATGATGTCTCCTCTGAGTGGTTGGAATGGGAGAAGCGATATTACAGTGACAGTTACAATTCAGACGTTTGTGAAGCAGTTGGGTTCTTGCAGTCTGTGTTGATGAAAACTAGGCCAAGCTTGGTATTGGGAATGGTTGGTCTTGTTGCTCTGAGTATACCAACGTCAATAGGGGTGGCCATGTTCCATTTGGTTGAATGGCTCCTTGCTGGGAATATTAATCATCTCTGATTAGATTCTTATCGTAACATTAATGTCTAGCTAGCTCGAATTAGATACATATGTTTTTTTCCCCTTAATTATAATAAATAGCATCAATGCGTTTCAAAATAAATTTTAAGATGAATGTGTTTTACATGTAAATATGGTTTTTTTTTTTTTTTTGCCCCGTTGTGATTAGTTTCCAATAGCAGTCACACTTCTCGTTTTAATGTTTTTTAAGAAAAATATGGTCTCGATTTTCAAAGAAAACAACGGTCTCAAACTAAATCGATTATGAGGAGGATGATGGTGATGGTGATATAATTAGATATGTGTTGCTTCATAAGCGTTCAACTGAAGAATTTACGGCTAATTCAATTGGTACTATTGATTTCAAGTGGCTCGTTATACCTATCCAATTGGCATAATTTGAGTTCAGTCATTTCCACATTTGGCATAATAACATAATTGACAACAATTTTTAAGTCAAATTTCCAGACGATATTCAAGTAAATTCAACTTGATCATGTCATTAATTACGACAGCAGTCGTTTTTTTATTTTAAGAACATGTTCATAGCATCTAGCAAATGTAAACTTTTCTGTTTTCTGACATTCTTATAGTGTTTTCTTTTTCGTTATGACAAAAGAGTTTGATAATCAAGATTGATGGTCCCCACATGGCCCACAAAGTCAATATGTCGAGCGTCGACCTTCCAATCAGCCAAGTAGCCAACTGCCCCTTTCAATGTGTGTTGGTGCATACTCCCTCCGTGGCAAGCAGAACGAACCTTTAAACTTTTTATACTGTTTTAAAAAATTATTCATTCTTATATTATGTCAGTATTTTTTATTTATATTGTTTAAAAATTTTTTATTAAAATTATTAGTTATCAAATTTAATCTTATATTATGTTAAATCAATATTAATTTAAAAATAAATGTTATTCAAAATTAAAGTAATAAATAAAAAAATATTTTACTTCTAAAATTTCGACATGCGGTGAAGTCTCCGTAAAAATAATAATTTTAATGTAATCACCATTTTTTCTTTTGAAAATTTTATGTATAAGAAAAAAACATATAGTATATTGATTTTTTATTAGTGAAGAAAAGAAAATGAAAGAAAGAATTAAGTTTTCTTTATCAATTAACAATATTTTAAGAAAGTATATTATTTAAAATTTTGACCAAATAAGTATTTTAAAGCATATATAAATAAAAAATATGATAATTTTTTTTAGAACAGAAGGAGTATATACTAGTTGGTTAACTAGGTGTTGCTACGAGTTATTAAAAAATAATAATGTCTATAGATCTAATTCAACAAATCAATACATTAGCACCAATTGCAATTAAAACGAACAAAAAAAATGCATATTGCTTGTAATTAAAGATGAAGAAAATTACATTATGTATATTAAATAGAATTTATAAAGAAAAATAAATAAATAAATGAAGGCTTGAAGAAAGAGCGTAACTATCATATTCCTTAATTAATTAATTGCCTAATTAATCATATTCCCTTTCATACTACCTCACATAGAAGATAAAAAACAAAAATAAAAATAAACAAAGTAAGGGGAAAAGTGTCAGAAACAAGGAAAGCCCGATGATTTATATAAAGAATGATTTTTTTTTTTTTTAAGGGAAAAGGTTTGAATAAATACTTGTTATTGATAAGAGTGCGACAAATTTTATAATACTTAAACATAAAAAGAAATTAATAGCACCTGTCTAGATAACCTTGAAATATAATCATTAAAAAAATTAATTTTATTTATAAAGTGTGTCAGTGGAGTTAATTTGAAAAGTTTTAACGCTTGTTAACAGATACACTTGGACTCTTGTTAACACAACTCTGAAAAAAAAAAAGAAAAAAAAACAACCTTCTTTATAAAGCTAAAAATTATAGATATTGACTAATCATTATTGTTTAGTTAAATAAATATTGGGTAGTAAGATCTTTTAGAAAAAACTTAATCAACTAGACTAATTCACGCATATTTTGAAATTATTTTTTTACGGAATGTGATTAAAAAATACTCTACCGGCCTTACAAGTATCAAATTCTGTGAATGGCGTACAAGATATGCCGCTAATAATTCATGGAGACAGGAGGGGGTTGCATTGAATGCAGTCGGATGCATTACAATATTGAAATTTCGGTAGTCAGCATTGACAAGGGGAAGGAGAAATTGATTCTTATTAACTACCAATTTCAATATACAATTCATATCATAAATAGATTATAAAGAGACGGGCTTTCAATTATTAGAGACATCCCCTTAGTTTTCTGTCCAATCAACTCCATTCTCCTGACTATTGGAATCCTGTGCCCAACTGCTCTGTCGAACAAGCACTACTATACCGATATACTCATTCTTATTTGATTATAATACCTTCAAGGTCAAACTACTCTGTAGCGGAAGGAAGCATTATGAGGAGGAAATGGCTATCGGCAGTTGGCACAGTCTGACTCTTTCTTTTAAAATATTATATACCTAAACCTCCCTTGCATCCCAAAAGTTAAATAATAGCTCCGACTTAACCCCACTTTGGATTCAGTTTCTTCTCCGCCGTGCAAAACTAATTAAACATCAACCTCGGTGTTATAAATTTAAGTTTGTAGAACCCACTAGGTAATTTATCCATCTTGTGCTTCTCTTCACTCTCCCTTCTCCACGCCACACACATAAGCGTCATATGGTTCCCTTATTCAGTGAAACGCTGCCCCGGTAACAAATCAAACACAAAAAACCAGCTAATGGCCTCACCTTCTCTTCCCCTTCCTTGTCCTTTCTCATATTATTGAATCTATTATTTTTTATTAACTCACACATTCAAAATTCTTAATAAAACTATTCTTTTAATATTTGAATCTATAATCTCTTGTTGTAAAAGATTATTATTATTGAATTATAAATTCTTTGATCTTTCTAATATTATTGAGCTCTATATTTAAATGGAGAATTTCATATGGAATAAAAATAATAAATTTAAAATACTTATATATTAAATCAACTCATAATTTATTAGTTTAGTTTTTCAAATTAACTTGGTGTTCATTGAACTTTTGAACTCAAGTGACTTTCAAATGCATGTCTTTTCAAACAATTGGTAGTCGACAAATCCCCTTTGGTAAGCCGACATTGAAGTTAATTTTGGAATCCTTTTAGTTATTTCAAAAAAGGGTGCCTCGTTAGGGACTTCTTTTTTCTTTTTTTACCCAACATTTTTCACAACAACATGTTATTATCTCCGGTAATCACGTATAACCATCAGGTCTAAGTATGCTTTTCTATATAACTAGTTGTATATCCTTTCCTTACGAATGTGATACCATGTCGTATATAATCTATTGTAAAGTTATCGATTTGATTATATTATCGTAATCTCATCTGTAGTCAATAGAATTATATTTATTTGTATTGCTCCAATCCTGTTTAAACCTGAATGTTAATATATCTCATATCCATAAATAATGCTCTCAACCCAAACTTTGTGTAATTTTTATAGCATTTTTTTTCAACTTAGTATCAATTGAAATTTGAAAAATTTTATCCTAAAACCATAATAAAAAAGTAATAAAAATTTAAAAACATACAATATATTTTATTTTCTCGATACATATTGCATTTAAACTCTTAATTACTCTCAATTTTTTTTAAAAAATAATATAGTATCACTGGAATTTGTTATTTTGTAAGAATAAATAACTAATTGAAAAAATAATTAATAAGGATTCAAATAATACATAGTTCCATGTACTATATTACCATTAACTTTTAAACAACATGAAGGACCTTTATGTGATTTCATCTAATATAAGAGATAGTTTTCTTGATTTTTTTGCTTCTATATCTTATCAAAAAATATTCAAATGCATTTTAAATTAAAGCTTATGATATGAGTTTTCAACAGGTTTAAGTTGAGATAATTTACAATAAACCTATGTTAAGATATTGTGATTCAAAGTATCTAGTCAAAAGTATTTAGTGAAAAATAAACATGTGGAATATGGTCAACGCGACAATCAGCGATCATTGAGTTTCGAACTTGCAATGGAGAGTCTCTCTAAAGCATTATTATTATTTTCTTTTCTTTAGTACACTTTTCCAAATCCAAACAATTAGCTAACTACTTAATTCTATTTGACATTTCACAAATACTAAAAATTACAATATATATATTGTTTCTATTATCTATTTATATTATTTTTAGTGTATCATAAGTTTAAAAAATTATTTTATTTTTTTATTTATATCTATCTCTCTTCTATAGGGTAAGTATTATTAATTATTACTTGAATAATATAAAATTTCACCAATAGTAATAATTAGAGTAGAAAATTAAGAAAACAATTAAGAAATGCGCAGCACTAAACCATTCTCCATTATTTACGAGAATAATCAAGCAGACTACTAATAAACCATACAAACAAGGGTTTGCATGGATTAATGTAGTAGCATTACAATATTCAAAGTTCGATTCTCAACAATAATTAAGAAATTTAATTTCATTAACTACACATTTCATTTTATATAGGCTAATTGTGAGACCAAAATGGAAAGAGAGATTGACCTCGATTATTGGAGCCACCACATTAGTTTATCATGTCAAACGTGATGCCTCAACGATACGCTTCTGATTCCAATGCATGCTCAACTGCTTTGTAATTGTTGTAGCAGAAGAATTATTATAGTACGGATTATTATTATTATTTTTAGTTCGATTATGTGTCATTCTTAATCATATTTGATTATCATACCTGTAGCCTCTGAAAAGTGGAACTCCTGATCTGTAGCGGAAACACTGAGTTCAACCGCCCATATCAAACTCGTTGTCAACTCATAATTAGTGCTTGCACTTTTCTTCTTCTTCTTCCTCCTCCAAGTCCAAGTACAATAATATAGATACCTGTGGCACGATTTGGAGTTAAGATGCAGACAAACAAATTACTAGTAATCAATAATGCGCCGCCCTCAAACTAAAGTGAAAGGATTCCTTAATGCCGCCTCTGAACAGAACCTTCTTTGTGAGGGCATCTTAAATCTTTAATTAATCTATCATGCAATCATTAAGTACGCACGGCTCCATGATATTTCATCCGCTAATCCCACTTTATCTGGCATGACTGATGAGAGATTAGCTTCATTTAAGAAATTAATTATTCTGGAACATATTCTACCATGATTAATTCTAACAAGAGCCATCCTTGCAGGCACTTTTCATATTTTCGGGTTTGAAAATTTTAAAGAAGGATATATATATATATATATATGTATGTATGTATGTATTAATTTTCTCCATACCCTCCCTTTTCCTCCATTAAATACGTCATTAGATAATTTCTTACCATCAGTTATTGTTTGGTAACAAATGGAATGATGAAAATAAAAATATTATTCTCACTTTGTAGAAGGTATTTGATTGAAATAAATGAATTGAAAGTGAGAATAAATAGTGAAAATTAAAATAAAATTAAACATAATTTCATTTTTTAGGAGAGTGGAAATAAAAAAAAAAAGAAAGGAAATAAAAAAATTCTTCAAAATACTGATATATTATTTTTATTTTTTGTATATCAATTATTTCTATCACTACTACCGCCACTATCAATATTAGTGATAGTGATAAAAAAAAATTATTATTATTATTTCCAATCACTCTTCTTTCTCCACCACCACCACCACAAATAGTGGTAAAGGTGATAAAAAAAAAATTACTCTAAGAGGATGTAAATATATTATCTCTACAAAAAAAGTAGTGGCCATACTCAAATCTTAAAACCTCAAATTTAATACAAATTTATTCTCGTAGCTTCATTCAACATATTAAACTTTTAAGTTGAGATGTATTTTTAATATGGTATAAAAATTTAGATTAAATAATTCCCTATTTACCAATAATAAGAATATAAATCATATTCTCGGACCTCGTTCAACAATTTAACTTTTTGAATTAAAATAATTTTTTAATATAATATTATAGTTTTGATGATCAAACGATTACAAATTCGAATCTCAATATTTTTACTTTCTTTTTTAATTAAAATTAAATAATTAAACAGAGTATAGTAGTGGCGATCCCGCGCAATTTTGAGAGTAATATAAAGTTTAAATGTGTCAAATCTTTCTTGAAATTTAGTCGATTTGAAAATTAGTATATGAACTTCTAATTTTGGATTTGAACTTTTCTGAGTTTTTTTTTTTTTGAGATTTAGTAAAAAATTTTATTTTTTATTTTAATAAAAATAAGCATTCACATAATTAGTTTCATAGTGACAATCACTCATTAAGATTTATCTAGATTTGTCTAATTTTTTATATTTTTAATGTTTAGAAAACTTCTAGAATTTTTTCAAAAATAAATTGAATTTTTTTTCAACGTTTGTAAAAAAACGTCAACTCGAAATATCAAAAATTGAAATTTTTAGAAGAAAGAGTAGTAGCTAAAAATCATATGATGAATTAAATTTTTTAAAAATAATAAAATTTAGAAGAAATCAAATATGAAATTAAAAGTTAAAAAATATTTTTAAATGAATTAAAATTCATAAAAGGTTTAACTTATTAAGCCTAATATAATACAATATGTTTTTAAAAAATTTATTCTAAAAAATATGTATTTTTATGATTTCATTCAATAATTTAAATTTAAAATTTAAATTGTTATCTGATAGAATTGAACGAGTGTTGCCATCCTCTTACGGGTATGTGCTGCGGTGGATGGATGTATTGCTATTGATCCAGAAGATTACGACTCGCAGGAGGGCCGATCCAAAGTTTCCTTGTCAAAGATGTGACATTTGATCTTAGCCAAAAAAAAAAAAAAAAAAGCACTGAGAGAAGGGATATAGCATTTGTCACCGTCACCGGATCAAACTCTAGCTTTTACGCGCTAACAATGCAGCGACAGACACGGTTTTGCCTCACTCCTTCCCTTCTGGCCGAAGTTATGGCTTAATCACATGTCCGACCCCATTGCTTTTCTTTTAGTTTACGCTTTCTTTTTAACAACTTGGATTAATGTACCTTGCTAATTAATTTTATAAATACAGGACCCCCTGGAACAAAACATATCATTTTCCACATCGATCCCAACTTCACAACATAAACAACATGGCATCAACTTCTCTCTGCTCTTCCTTTCTTTCTTATCATCCATTTTTCACCACCTCGAAATCGAAACTCGAACCAAGGAAGAGGGCATGCACAAGAATTTCAGCTGCAAGAAGTGAAGCACATGATCAAAATTATTACAGCGGCAGGCTAGTTGATGAGAACATGATTGTTCTTAGGAAACGAATTCATGAGATGAAGATGGTGGAGAGGAACTATGAGCCACCTTCTGATTGGATGGAATGGGAGAAACGCTATTTCACTAGCTACGATTCATTGATATGTGGAATGATGGGTTTCTTGCAATCCCAGTTGATGGATACAAGGCCTAGCTTGGCCTTAGGGTTCATTGCTTTGATTATTTTGAGTGTGCCCATGTCATCGGCTATGGTGCTTTTCCATTTCATGGAGATGTCTAAGATGGCCTTGGGGGGCCTTCACGGCCTTAATTAGTTAGTTTGACAAATGTTGGAGCATTAAACTAGTGGAAATTATGTTGATTAATTTTGTTTGTGAATAATTTCTCTCTCCTTTTTTTCTGTTTAATCACAGAACCGATTATATATTTTATTCTTTGTATTCTTTTAAAACGATCATACATACAATATCAATGCAATAATAAATCAATAAAGGATATATATATATTTGGCAGCCGAAGGAATGTTTCGGAATTATACCCAAAATTGGTAGGCTAGAACCACCAAAAGCATTCAGTACCTCTAGCCCCCGATTCATGAATGGATCGAATGTTACCAGAGACTGAAATACACCCAGATTTATAGGCCGAAAGTGATTCAATTCTTAAGCCGAGATTAACAAGTTCACATAAGTCAGCTGCTTGGTAGAGGTGATAACCGCCTCGCATCCCCGTACAGAGCTTTTTGCAATTCTTACACTCCATCAAAGGGAGCTTTATTCTCTTTGCCTTGTGGCTGCTCCATGTAAATTTCTCGATCTAATTCTATATATAAGAAAGCATTCTTCACGTCCATCTGCCACAACTTCCAGGACTTGCTTGCTGCGAGCGCTAGCAGGACAGGTATGGTTTTAATCTTTGCCACTGGACTGAACCTTTCGTTACAATCCAGTCCATACTGCTATGAGAACCCTCGAGCCAACAGGCGAGCCTTCTATCTCTCAATTTTTGTTGTTAGTTGAGGAGAGTTTGCAAGATCGGTCTAACCTCCAGCTTTTCTGGCTCTTCCGCTGTTTTATGATTATGGTGCAGGCAGGTTGCTTCGTCATCGTGTGTAATCCTCTCACTTTTTTTTTTTTTTTTTTTTGGTGCTTTTGGTCCCATATTCTAAAAATTAACAAAAAAATTAAATTTAACTAGTTTTAGATTTCTAAATTTTGGTTTCAACATAAATATTTTGAAATCTTTTTAAATGGGTAGATATAAAAGACATAGTGTATCGTTTCATATGTGTGAGTAGCTAATTTGTTCATCAATTGAAAAAAAAACAAAATCACATTAGATAAGAAAAATCCGAAAACTAAAACTGTTTTTAATTAATGCGTAAATTGGTAGTTTTCCTCTAGCGGCATGTATATATACATGAATTGTTATTTTTTTAAAAAATAATTGTGTACATGTTTTTAAAAGGATTAAAAAAATTTCCAAACAGAATTAAAGATAAGACAACGAATATAAAAATTATTGAATTTCATCGTAACTCTATTATATATTTTTGCACATATGTTTGAGAGCTATAAGAACAAATGCACACTATATATTCACAAAATTGGTTGCATGAATATATGAGTGGAATTCATACGGTGAGATAAAAAAAAATGGTTGACAAAAAAACAAGGTTTTCGAAAGGAAAACCTTTGAATCGAGGACAATTGATAGTGTGGTTACGTTTTTTAGTGCTGGAGTTGAAAGAAGGAGATAAAGGAGGGAGAGAAGGCAAGGAAGAAGAAGACAGATTTGCAATATGATTCTTTTTGTACTATTCTGTTACGACCTCATGTAACATTTCGTTCTGCTCATTTTTACAAAGAGAGACCTTAAACCCGTTTATCAACCCAGCCCAAGATATTCGAGCCCAACTAAAGATGTCAGCCTGCTATAACAATAATAGGATACTTTAGCCCATCTAGGAGGGCCAGCCCATTTCCACTAGAAGCTCGGTACCAAAACAACTAAGTAATCCAGTTATTCTCAACCTTCAAACCCTAACTGAAAATAAAAACCCCCAAATTAATTAAGGGCACAAACTGAAAATAAACCCCAAATTAATTAGGGCATCCCGTTCTCTTCAAGGACGAAATGTATGTATCAACAAGTCAAATCTTTTTTCTTTTCTTCTTTTCTTTTTTTTTCAGAAAGACAACTCAACTCTTTAGTAACGGGAAACTAATGAGTGGACCGATTCATTAACGGATTTAAAGATACATAGCTTAGATATAATTTTTTTTTTTAAAAAAAAAAAGACACCACAAGAACTACTTATTTATTTTTCATTAAACTGTAAGAAACATATATATATTGTCAATGGGTCTTTGACCAATACAGCAAGGGCATCATTCGTCACAGGATCCGAACTTGAGATTTCCTTGTGGAGATCTGAAATCTTATGGCAAAAATTAAATTTTCTTGCTTAAGAAATTTTTTGATTCAGAGAGTCAGGTCAGAACCCATTCTTAAAGAGACTTAATAGCGCGGTCATAAGCGAATAGAAAGCCCAATAAAAAGAAGTCTATTGGGCCAATACCCAAAAAGAAATCATGCGTTTGGAATTGGTATGGGAAGAATGCTGAATAGGCGTTTAGGACAACTTTCACATTTCAAGCATTTCATACATATGGTGGCCAGAAACCCAATTTTCGTGTGAGGACCGAACACTTAAATCTTTCTCGGAAAAAGAAAACAGGGAGATTTGCCGTGAAAATAAAATACAATATACTGATAGTTTTGAGATGCGAGGGTTTGAAAGAAAGAGAATTATTCATTCACATACCACTAATATTAGTGATGAATTATGCTGGTGGTCATTAAACTATTTTAGAATATTATTTCATTAAAATGAAAACACAATTTGTCATATGATTCTAGTTTCGTTCCCAGAAAAAAAAAACTGATAACTTTTTATTCATTTGTCGTCAATCGAAGCTTGCAAGATACAAACATGAAGCTTCTGTTTTCTTCTATTTATCGAACATAGATGGAAGATATGCATGTTAAAAAAGCGTCCCTGCTATACGGTGAGCGCTGCTGTTGCTGTTTTTGGATTCGAATATACGTAGATTAGAGAAGAACATACGAGTCATGTGATGTCCGATTGCCTAGAAGTTGTTTGCCTCACGAGACAAGACAAACAACGACTCAATGCAACTCGCCCAAATGAGCTGGCCCCTTAACAGCCACAGGAGTTTATTTTATTTTTACTTTTGGATCAGATGGGAAGTTTTTGAAAATATATATATTACTGATTTTGACTGATTAAATAATTAATTGACCGGATTTCTTGTATTAAGTTGACATAGTTTTTATTTTTATTTTTTTCCAATATCCCTAAAGTTTTTATTTTTATTTTTTTCCAATATCACCTAAAAACCCAACTCGCATTAGGGATATCATCTCCGTGAGTACTCGATAATATCCTATTCGATGAAAATGAATATTGGAGATAACGTTTCTCCGATATATAAATGGAAAACATGCCTCTACTCTATAACATCTGATTCGATAGAAGTAAATATGCAATGTAATGTTTCTCCAATACATAAATGGAAAGCACGCCTCTATTTTATGTGAAGTTTCATCCGACTATATATATATATATATGAATGTATGTATATATCGGACGGGGAAGCAGGAAGTAAAATCCAGAATGAATCCGTTCTATTATCATCCGTATTCTTACCACCTCTTTTAACTCTCGGAGTAATGCTAATCTTGTCTGGAGAATTTCTTCATGGACGAAATGTGACGAAATGTCATTATTATATGCATGGGATTCTTCTGAAAATTAATTATTTGCGCAACCTTCTGTCGCTTGCATCTGCCCAGCAGCTACCATATTTAGTAGCAAAATGCCAAAACGAAGTTAATAGCGAAAAGTCAAAAACGCAGACAAAAGCTATTTAAGATCACGGCGCACACAAGGTCTACTTTATCTGCTCAGTACAACAGTAAATTTTGGTATATTTCAATTTTATTTATTTATTTATTTTATTCATATGAAGGAAGAAAAATAGGCATATATCATTGCCCAGTCGCCAAACAAAATAGAACGAAGTTCACTATCATGGTCCATGACCATTGAAAGTGAAAACAATTAATGAGTAGAAATCCAGTCCTGATCTGTTTTTAGTGGGACAAATTAGGACTTTTTTTTCTTTTTGCCTTTTTTTTATGAAAGGCAATAGCCCCCACACATCCTAAGGAACAGCAAACGTTAATAATTTTGCATCTTAAACAGATTTTTATTATTGAGATCCAATCATAGACATAGAGGTGCTTTTCTCATTATGTTTTTACGCAAAGTTAAGAATATCGTCGATCTTCTTCTTCTTCTTATCTGCAATTCTTAACTGTCTCCAAACCTTGCATTTTTCTATCTTTCTAGATTTTTTTCAATTATCACATCTGTAAGTGCTCTTTTTCCCTCAATTTTCTAGATTTCCCTTAACTATATAATCTTCAATTGTGGTTGATTGAGTGCTTTATTTCGTTAATTTTCAAAAGTCATGATGCTTTTTCATTGATTTTGCAACTTAATTAAGTTTTGCCTGATTTTTGCTATCATTTATTGCTCATAATCTGTTACGCGAATGTTCTGTATTTCTTTGCAATCTGTTACGCGAATTGTTGCTGCTGCTGCTGCTGCTGCTGACTAGGCTGTAATTATTATACGAAACCCATGTTGTGATCTCTGGGATTCTGTTATATTTCCCGATGATTGATTTAACCCATGTTGTAGAACTTCAGATTTCTTAAAAATTGTTTCTTAAGGTTAATTGTGTCTCATTTAGTTTTCTTGCTAATTATTGCAGAAAGAAAGTGTTTTGAGGAAAGACGTCTGGTTTTATGGCTGCATTGTATGAAAACAAGATGATGTCGAGTGGTGAAAATCTGCTGACTGCTACAGTGCCTTTGATGAAACTTCTCTCCCTTACTGTTATAGGATTGGTTCTTGCACACCCGAAAGCCCAAATGATCCCAAGAGCAACATTTAGGCTCCTAAGCAAGCTAGTTTTTGCCCTATTCTTGCCCTGCCTGATTTTCACTGAGCTTGGTGAAAGCATTACGCTTCAGAACATTGCCCTTTGGTGGTTTATCCCTGTCAATGTGTTGGTTAGCACACTTATTGGTTGCTTTCTCGGGGTGTTAGTGGTGCTTATATGTCGTCCGCCTCCCCAGTTTAACAGATTCACTATTATTATGACTGCCTTTGGCAATACTGGAAATCTCCCCATTGCCATTGTTGGATCTGTCTGTCATACTAAAGATAGCCCATTTGGACCCCATTGCCACTCGAGGGGAGTGGCATATGTCTCTTTTGCCCAGTGGGTTGCGGTGATTCTTGTTTACACCCTAGTTTATCACATGATGGAGCCTCCAATGCAGTACTATGAAATTGTTGAGGAAGGAACTGAGATTGAGGAACAACCAACTAATGACGTCAGTAGACCTCTCCTTGTAGAAGCGGAATGGCCAGGCATTGAGGATAAAGAAACTGAACATTCAAAGACGCCTTTTATTGCTAGGATCTTTAATAGCATCTCAAGTCTTTCACAGACTAATTTTCCAGACCTTGACCTGAGTGAACGCAGTTTGAGCAGTCCCAGGTCAATTCAGTGTTTGGCTGAGCCGAGAGTTGTAAGAAGGATCAGAATTGTTGCTGAACAAACTCCCGTGCAGCACATACTTCAACCTCCAACAATTGCTTCTCTATTCGCTATCATCATTGGAATGGTGCCTCAACTAAAAGCTTTTTTCTTTGGATATGATGCTCCTCTATCTTTTATCACAGACAGTTTAGGAATTTTAGCCGGTGCTATGGTGCCTTCCGTGATGCTGATTCTTGGGGGTATGCTTGCGGAGGGGCCAAAAGACTCTACGCTTGGCCTTCGAACTACAATTGGCATAACAGTTGCGAGGCTTTTGGTGCTTCCTCTGCTGGGAATTGGTGTCGTCGCATTGGCTGATAAACTGCATCTTCTTGTCCAGGGTGATGCAATGTACAGATTTGTGCTCTTGTTACAGTACACAACACCAAGCGCCATTCTATTGGGAGCAATTGCCAGCCTGAGGGGTTATGCAGTAAAGGAGGCTTCTGCTCTTCTCTTCTGGCAGCATATCTTTGCCCTATTCTCCCTTTCATTGTACATCGTTATCTACTTCAAATTACTCACTTATATTTGAGGTCTTGTGGTATCTTATAGTCTCAGAGTATTGTATTGTTTGCATCTAAGTACTGTCAGATTGCTGCTGTCCCCTTAATTGGATCACGTGGCTTTTAATAAGATGGAATTCTGTTTATTTGCTCTGTTTACTCTGCCGGATACTGATGGTGGTAATGAAAGGTGCGTCTTCCAGAAATTTGGTATTGCAGAATGATTAAATATGGTTCTTATTCTGTAAAGTGTTTCTCAGAATCATATTTAGCAGCCAAATCTGATGTAGACAGATACAGACAGCTATATGTTATTGCAAACTGCTGGATTGTATTCAGAAGTTATTTTTTAAAAATAAATATTAGAAAATTTTAATCCCAATTCCCAACTAAGTAGAAGTCAGAACTAGCTGCGACACCTACAAGGCCAGTACTCGTTTAAGTTGCATAGAGATGGATACTGACATGCATATTTGAATTGAAGCACCAAACAAACGCTACACTTTCTCGTAGGATGCATGGCTGATGATTCCTTTTTAATTGCTAATCCATACGTAATGAGTTCCTCCAAACATTAAAAGCAACAGCGCAGGATTTCTAATGAATTCTTTGTTTGGCAGCACTCTATATTTGTCGTGACTTGTGACTTACGAACTGAAAAAATGCAGTACTTCGCTGCTATAGATTTTATTTTATTTTATTTTCCTTGTAGTGTGGCGTTTTTCAGACGTCTAAGTTACATGGTAAAACAAGGGCCTAAAAGCCCATGATGCCATACAAATATAGGTCCAGCTCTTTTTCTAGAAATTGGGGGTGTTGATCGGTAACAGGGGCCCAAATGATTTACAAATCAACTCACCCGCCAGACCAATCTCAGTGGCCTGGCATTATTCTGCACACCACACGTGTCACCCTTAGCTAACGAGTCATGTTTAATTCCAACAAGCAGAAAGTGTTAGAAGTTTTTATACTTGTATCACGCGAATCATGTTTTATTCCTTAATGAGCGGCAGCTTGTCAAACTAAGCACTTTGAATCTGGTGTGAAGAACCATTCAAAGTTGGACAAATCACAGTCTTTAGAATCCTTAATTAAAAAGGACTGAATGAACCCAGATTTATAAATGCAGGTATTAAATGGATTTGTCTATCCTAAGCAGGACCAAGATGGCTTGTTAGAATTTGCAATTTCTGTCTTGCAAATCACGTAAAAGTTTCTTTTCACGCAATTCAGATCTGAGATGGTCGTCTCTTCTCTTGTTTGCCTTTGCTATGGTTCCCGTTTGACCGTGCCTGCTTTGCTAATTGCTATATTACAGCTATGGTCAAATTGATTTTAGGTTGTTTTCCTCTGTGTAACTTGCTTGTCCGAGATTCATGAATCATGATTCCTTGGTCCAACATGGATAAGTCTTGTCCAAGTTATTTGTGGAAACATATTTTTTATACAGTATGTATTTCTCTTTTGGAAAATAGCTTTTATTTCTCGTTTCCCCCTTGTCAATAATTTACACGCACAAAACATCAAAACGAGGAAATTATTATTATTATTATTATTATTTTGAAAAAGAAAACGAAGAGATGTTTATCCTTTTATATGTAGTTTTTCGTTATGTTTAAGCTCTTCAAATTCATAAAATAAAGTTTGAGTAATGCTATTCATACAATATATGCGTGTGTGAGAGAAACTGTTAACATATTTAAAGGAGAAATAGTTTAGTTTCTCCTTATCTAAAGAGATTATGTCTAATATATTTTTATATTTAAAATTCGTTAATTACATTAGTGAGTTTTAATTTATTTTTTTAGTCAATTTTTCAAGCCAAATTATCTGAAAAAATGATGTAATTTACACATGGTTTTTTTTTCTTCTAAAAAATGCCTCACTTAACTGAACATGTGCAAATCATTTAAAAAAATAATAATACTAAATAGATCACACATGTGCATCGTTAATTCAAGAAATAAAATAAATAAATAAAAGCTAAAACTGAATTAATCGGCCCACTTCAAGGGAAAAAAAAGAGCATTATTATTCATTATCTTTGCATCATCATCTTTTCTCTCTTCCTTCATGCAATTCTTCAAATTTAAAATCCTAATTTTGATTAAGCAATCTCTTTTCTCTAATAATAATAATAAAGTTATGCGTTCTGACTCTTCAATAAACACTTCTCTAACTTCAAATTGAAAAACCCTTAACACGCAAATTGATTATTGTGATTGGAGACATCGAATTTCTTTGAAAGCAGCATGAACAATTAAAACTTTACCAAGAGATTCTCTAATTTTCGAAATTACAAGATTGCAAGGTCTTCTTATGGATATGTTTATTATTTTTATTTTTTTTTGTCTAGAATAATGTGTTCATTTTCAACACGTGTCACTCAAACTATTTAAAATGATAAACACATTATAGAAAGAAAATGAGGTGAAGGATTTCATACGTAAAATATATGAAAAGATTATGATTATATCGTGATGTTTATTTATCGTTACTTGACCGGTTAGTGTATAGCTGTTGTTGAAAAAAGTGAATGGTTTATGTTTTATAATGCTGGATTTAATTGAAGTTAAACTACTTCGTGTCTGTATTTAATTGATATTGTGATGAAAATTTTCAATTTCAAACTTAATAATAATAATAATAATAATTTTATTTTTATTTTTATTTTTATTTATTTTTTTATGGATTGTCGATGGGTTGTTCTCTTATTTTGTTTTATCATAGCCAAAGGGTTGTTCTCTTATTTTGTTTTCTCATAACCAAATTATACGATAAATGTATCAGATATATATCTGAAAACCAAACAACACCACGATGTTGCAAAATTTTTCATGATAATGTTTCGGATGAAGACAAAGGAGGAAAAAAAAAAAAGTCCATTTACAAGACAGTTCAACCGAAGTTCCATATTTTCAGTTCAACCAAACAATTCAAACAATCGGACCAAATCAAAGCGAAGATTGACCTTCGGGTGTGACCAGATTTGTGGACCCAGAAATATCCTTTCCAAGGAAGATGAATGCCAGAAACAAAATCGTTTTTTTTTTAAAAAAAAATGATTATGTAACATTTCGCATCATTATCAAAATAGACTAGCTCTTCTTATTATCAATTTTTTATCTTTCTTTTGAGCCTTTCCGAGAATGACAAAAGCAGCATCCTTGTAATAATAAAAACATGGGTGGCTTGACAAAACCCATGAGAATAATATAAGATTAAAAAAGATGTGATATTCTATTTACTAAGAGGAAGGCAAATGGTGGATGACTGACGAATTGTATCCGGTGATTGGGAATATGCGGAGAATCGCAATCAGAGCAAGACCCATGCCTTGTTTGCCACTTTTGTCTTAAAATAATGGAGAGTTTCATTGATTCTTTTCCTCTGGGCCTAAGCCTAGAAGACAAAGAAATCACAAACGAAGACCATAGTCCAAATGAATCTTCTGAAGAAGGGTGATTACTGACCGAGGAACGAAATGACCAGCCACCCGCTCAATGAAGGGCTGCGAGGCATCGAGACTTTCAGTTCGGAAATATCTCTAGACATAATATAAATTGAAAACTCTCACCCTGCAGCTTGTGCTTTTTTCGTTTCATGATATAAGAAACATTTTGCAGTCCCCACTCCCAACGTACAAGCTGGTGCATTTCATCACATCAGCCATGTGCATGCTGGGAGAGAAGGTACGAGCCTGACATCCCGTGACTTATAGTGGACCTGAGTAATCGACATCACAAGAAAATGCAAGTAAAACGTGAGGAACGGATTTTCTTTTCTAGTACCATAAAAAAAAAAAAAAAAAAAAAATATATATATATATATATATATATATATATTCTCGTGAAAAAAGAGCATTCACATTCTCGAATTGTGATTTCAAGCCCTGAGAGCAAATATACATAAGGGTAGTCAGTGGCGTGAGGCCATGACACTCTCCATGGAAATTTTTAACATTTTAGTTCTATGATTTATTTATTTTAATTATATTCTTTGATTGAAAGTTTCTTGTATAAAAATGTGCATGTTTTGCATCTCAAAAAACTCATTTATTTTCTTATTGGCTCTCCAAATTCTAAATTTCTGGTTCCATTCTTGTCCGGAATTTTAAATCATTTCAAAATTAGTTTTTCAATTTTTAATTTTTAATGTGACCTCTTTGATATGTTTTATATAAAAATCAAGTTGTTCTGTTATTTTTTTTATGATTCCATCCATGAGTTTGTAGATTTTTTGTGTGATAAAGTGAATTCTTTGAGCGCAAAATTAATTACCTTTATGGATGAAGCCATACAAATATCAATTAAAATACTTAAATTTCAAATGTAATTTAGTTCAAGACGAATCAAATTTAAAAATTAATTCTCAAATAACTTAAAAAAATTTTAATTTTTTAATTACAATATGATTTTAATTTATATCAATAGAGTATGGCAACTATCATCCTCTCAAATTGCAAGGCGCACACTTCTAGCACATGAAAATACGTTAATATCCATACATTTTTATGGTGCAATTAGCTGATTGCAACACAAAAATTGCAAAATACACATGAAAAAGAAAAATACACACACATAATTCATGGTAGCATATGGTAACAAAATGAATTAAATTCTATCAATAGTACGAAATCAAAAATATCATATTCAATTGGAAAAAACATAATTTTTTAAAAACTTATATCATATAACTTAACTGGTGGAAGAAATACCATTGAATCAAAAATTGATTTTAACTTAATTATTGTAATTTATAAAAACTAACTAATTAAAATTTTTGTATGAAAAATAATCAAATAGCCTCTCAATACCATCTTCAATTGAAAAATGCAATTCCTTACTTCGTTGAATTTTACCATCTTACTTGCATAATTTTTTTCTACTTCTCAAGAAAATAAATTAGAAAAATAACATGCAATTGACAAGAACTATATTGTAAGCAGATATAGAATTGTCATAATGGGACATATAATTTCTTAAATCACACAAGGATTGTAACACCATCGGCCTTAAGGAGGCCATTA